CCGCACACCTCACAAGGTGTTTGGTAGGTTGATGGTCGACACTAAAAAAAAAAGAAGGAAAATAGCATTTTTTTCAATAAAAAAATTTGCGTACGGGCGCACTACCTCAACCACGGACGCAATGCGCTGAATTTGCATCCCAAGTGTATGTATTTCTATCCCACAGAGAGACGCACAGGGGCCCCACTGAATCTATGATACTTTTATCACAAAAGTTTACAATAACTCAATTTTGTGATAGGTCTGATTTTCTCGCAAAAGAACATGTGTAAGTATACAGTACAAGTATAAGGGAAAGTTATCACAAAAATAATATGATAACTTTTTATCGCAATGTTCAGTAACGGGAGCTGGTATTTACGTTTATCACAAAAATTTGCAATAAAATGTTGTCACATATATTGTTGTGATATCTTTCCCATGTAATTTTTATTGCATGTTTTTCTGCGATAAAAAGTTATCATGTCCGATAAATCGAACAAATCACAAGAAATGAGTCATGGAAGAAATAAGGGTTAATTTATCACAAATCCAGATTCAGTGCCGTGGAGTGGTCCACAGACCTTTATTCCCCCTTATCTCCCCTATGGTTGTAGCCTTTCGCCGCCGCCACTGACCGGAGCTGGTAGGCGTGCGGTACAGTCCGTACGGACATAAAAACTGCCCCTTCCCGCGCGCAATTTCTTAGGCGTTTGACGGTAACGCTAGTCGCTCTTTTGCCATAACTATGAGAAACCGACAAGGGGCACAAAAAATGTCATAATCTTTGACGGGTCCTAAAGTCTTGTCGTGGGTGTGGTGGGTCCGGCCACACCGGCTAGCTAGACGGGCTCCCAGAATAGCCCCGGTGCGTGATGGGGGCGGGGCGCACAACACAACAGGTGCGGAACTACCCCGCGGCAGAAAAGACTTTCGTTTTTCAGCCGACTTCCCTCCACTCATTATAGTTATCTGTCGTTGTCGTTTGTGCCGCAGCTAGCGCCATGTCGGTCGCCTTCACAGACTTTGAGGAGGGGATGATCGCCTTCGACCACGACGACCCGGACTTCAACGGCAACGTCGTCCCGACCATCAACTACAACAGCAGCAGCAACAGCTACATCGTGACGCCGGCGACGTGCCGCTCATACAGCAGCGTCGGTACAGTACTAGGTAAGCCACTCGAGATAAAAGTTGTATTTCTTTTTCTTCAATTCTATACTGTATCCATATTGTTTCTTGGTGTGTTCCCTTGCGCGTTTTTATGCCCTCCTTGTCCTATACCCATTCTTCACCCTCCGTGACATGTTTACGCTCTTTATGACCGAGACAATGACACGCCTGATTCTAATCATAATGGTCGTGACAAAACCCATTCTCCCCAAAGAAAGTCAAATTTAGCGGGCAAGCGCGTTGCAAAAGTCACAATTATTTCCCCTCCTTCAAGAAGTGACATGAGCAGAATCTGGAGCCCGTTATCATTAGGCGTTGATGACGCTTACGTTAACCAGCTGCCAACGCAGAGGCGGCTAGAAGGGGAGGGGCGGGGGAGACGGTCGGCGGAGAAAATCACGACCAGAAGCGAAACCGAAAGAGCATACCAATAAACTGGTCGAACGAGTATGGTACTGGAACGTACGCTGCTGGTCGGGCCACAGGGCAGCCACGCTTGGTTAGTTAGTTACTGTTCTTTCGTTTCCGTGTGTCCAGCAAAAGATTAATTTTGGGACTGGCAGCCAGGAGTTCCAGGAGTCGGGCGGGGCAAGGACGATTAGAATAGATAGAGATAGATAGATAGATAGATAGATAGATAGATAGATAGATAGATAGATAGATAGATAGATAGATAGATAGATAGAACACCCGCTCCTGCATGCAAGGTGCATTACTAGGGTGATGTGGCGGAGCCCTGCACTGGGCGGGCAATGTCTACTTGACGACCGAAAGCGGCTACGGGGAGGGGAGTGAGATGCCACTTTAGTTACAACAATCAAGGTTTATGGCTGTGGTGGCCAAAAGTTTTACTCAGTGCATCCGATGCCCGCCCACTGCAGGGTTCTGCTGTAATGTCACACATGACGTTATTTCACGGGGAATGACATCACCTGCACGCCACGCCGTGTAAGTAGATGGTTGGCTGTGGATGCTGTGTGCGCTCGGGTCAACCCGCCGCCGCGGGTCGCGTGCAGGGGATTGTGCGCATGTGAGTGTGTGTTATCAGCAGCGGCTCCGCCTCCTGATACCGTCGCTACCGCCTCCGTGTGTGCTCAGGCCGTGTGGCGCGAGGGCGGCGCGCACACACTGCGCTGCGCACCTGCCTGAGCACCGCTCCTCCTCCTCATCTCGCCGCCCAAAAGCGCGGCTCCGCCCGATGAGGTCCGGCCCGGCCAGCAGCTAGAGCTGATGCGCATGACCTTGTCGCTGTCCATGTCGGACGGCTCTACGCGTCTGGCACTTCCAGCGGCGCGGCGTAGTGTGTGGCAGAGCTAGCAGAGCCGCCTGGTCCTGGTCCGGCCGAATCAATTGTCACGCCGCAGGGACGTGGTGGTGGCGGGCGTTCCCCAAGGCCCAGGACGCGCTGCGCCGCCGAGGCCGCCGGCCGGCTGGATCCGGACCGCGCAAGGAGAGAGGAAGCGGCCGGCGATGGGAGTGAGAGTGGCGGCCGCGAATAAATATTGATTCGAATACCCGGTTATTTCCGTCTGGCGAATGACTAAAGCGGCGGGCCCGGCCCGGGCGTGGCGCGTGCCGTCTGCAGTGCAGCGCTGCGAGTGCAGTGCAGCGCACCACACCACACGCCGCCGCCGGCCGTTTGGGCCGCCGCCCCTCGCCGGAGCCCCCGGCACTACCTAATGAGCTTTACACTGCTGCCCCCCCCCCTCCCCAAACCCCGATTCCCACGAGCGCGCGCCCCCGAATCTTAAACGCGACGAGTTCCCTGCGGCTTTTGTCTCGCCTTGCACCGTCGGGCCGGGCAGCGTTCAAACCAACGACCCGCAAGTCGACAGGAACCACCAAGGGCAGCGGGTCCCGGGCCAGGGCCGGCACATCCAGTCCGGCGCGTACCCCCATCATCTATGATCAGGAGGCCACAGTGGGCGGCGCACATCAGGTGCCGCGGCCGGGACCAAGGCCGCCGAGGGCAACGGCCCAGCCCGGCCGCGTGAGAGCAGCGCCGAGCGCCGCGGAGCGCGAGCAGAGCGAGCGCGGCCAACCCCGTGTTTACCGAGACACGGCGCCACCTCGTAACGCCCATATCTACGAAGGCGCCGGGGAGGGCGTCGCCGGGGGGCGGGGCAGCCCGGGGCTTCATGTCCTCCCCGGGAGAACGCCCGGCGGGCTGGGCCGCGCGCTCGGCGCCCGTGCCCGCGGGCGGCCTACCTGCCGGGCGGGCGGGCTCGGGGCGCGGCGCGGCGGGGACGGGCAGGACGAAGCAGGGCGTGGCGGGACCGCGCCTGGCCGGGCAGGTGGACAGAGGGCGCGCCGCGGCCACCAGGGGCGCACGCCGTCGAGGAGGTGGACGGCAGCGCGCGCTGGCCGCCGCCCCACCGCGCCGCGACGCCACCTCCCCCCCTCGAGCGCCTCTCGCCCGGCCCGGCCAGAAAGGTGAGAGGCGAGGTGAGCGGCGGCAGGAGGGGGGCGGGAGAGAGGTGAGGTGGGCGAGGGGGCGGACGGGCGCGGCGCGCGCTGCCCGCCAAACGCATACTTATACACCTCGGCCGCCCAGGCGCGCCACCTCCGCCTCGGCCAAACCAAATTTCCTCTTTGCCAAAACCCAGCGAGCAAGTTCAAGCGCTTCTGGTTGTTAGTTTGCAGTCGGAGCCGACACTACAGGTGGCCCGCGCCATCTCGCGCCGCCACAACTAGAACCAGACCAGGCGCTGAACAGCTGTACGCCGCCGCCAACCTACAGGGCGACAAATGTTAAGAGATGCAGCGAATCTTCGATATGGCCCGGCGCGCGTCAGAATGTGCTAACGAGGTGACGCCGATGGGACCGTAGGGGCGGGGCGGGGCGGGGCGAGGCGGGGCGGACTCGCTGTCGGGCGTTCTGTCTCCGTTAATCGAATCGGCCGCAGGTCCGGGCCGGGCCGCGAGGCTGACCAGCAGCGGACCCGTTCTCAATTTGAGTCGAGCAGGGGTCAAACCGCAAGAGCAATTTGATTAGGGGGACCGCGGGTGGGCCCGCCACCGCCCGCCGCACGGAGGGGAGGGGGAGCGGGCAGCGGCGTAGATATCGCAGCGCGAGAGAGACGGAGAGCGAGGCGAGTGGGCGAGCGTGAGAGACGAATGACAAAAGTCCATTAGGAACTTCCCCTGATGAAAGGCTGGCGATTTTCGTGCTGACACTGCTGTCGAAATCACAATCGAAGCCACGACAATGGTAGGGAAGGTGCGTCAGCTGAGGCAGGGTCAGGTAAAGGAGATTAACGCCACCACGGCCCACTCCCGCTGCTCGCACGACCTCAAAGTGCTGCACGACAGCGGGCTGCGCCGCGGAGGTAGGCAGCCCAACGGGCCTGGCGGTGCGCGGCGCTACCCGACGCGGCCGCGGGGGGGCGCCAGCAGGCCCGGCGGCGCCGCGGCCCCCGCGGACGAGCTTCGCGTAGGGGCCGCGAGGTGGCGCCCGCGGGGTCTTGCCGGCGAGCCGGGCGGCGCCGGGCCGGCCGGTCTGTCCGTCCAACAGGCAGGGCGCCGACCTTCACCTCCAATGCGTGCGTTCAAAGTACAGTACAGGGACCACAACACTGGAGGCCCCGGCACGCGGCACGGAAGCGGCATCACCGAGTCCATATGTAGAGGGGCCAGGGCACCAGGAGGATCCCGAGACCCCCCTTAGCACCTAGAGCGCCAAACAGACAAGAAAGATTTTAAAGTTAAGTGAGAATACCAAAAATCTGATCCCAGCAAGCTGCTCGTTTGCATTCGGAGCAAACATATTTCCAAAATAGGTGCTGATCGTGCCGATCTATAGATTTAGTTCGAGTTTTATTATTCACAGCACCTGCTGGATATCTAATGTTAAGTAGCTGCGCAGTTTAATCTTTGTCCATTCAGCCAAACTTTAGCGCTGATTAAAACTTCCGCGCGAACGACAGTTAGAAATGCTTATGTTGTTATTAGAACGATAGATTAGCATCTCAAGTTGGTGGTTATAGGCCAGACCACGTTTCGGCTAACAGGCTTCGCGGTGTCTTGCGATAGGCCGTTGGGCTTGCGCTGAGCTAAGACACGCACGCCCGCGTCGTATACACCCCCAGTGACAACCCGCAACGCTGGTGGAGGCCTGCGGTTCTTGCTATTTTGTTATCATTGTGAAGGACGCATTCTGGGAAATCCAAGCACCATGCATCGAGCACCACAGGTGATACGGACAATAAAAGTGTAAATTTTGTCGGATTTCCTACAGGGAAAATCAATTAGTACGTATGTATTTCTTTTATTGCAAACGTTTTGTTGCCCTTGTGCACAATGATGTAATATTCCGACTCGGAAAGTTGTCCAATGACAGTTATTTTGCTGCGTGTACTGTACGCCGTGCGCCCGCCCACGACCAGCGCCGCCGTGCTGTGCCGCCGCCCGCCGCGCTTTCCATCTCGCGCCTCGCGCCCCACGCTCCAGTACCCGGAGGCCCGGAGGTACGTGGCGAGGCCCGGGGCCGGCGCGTGCTCTCAACCCTCGGCACGGGGGAGGTGCGTGGGCGCGGCACCACCGCCCCAGGCTCGGCCCCGGGCGGACGGAGACAGACAGACAGAAGGGCGGCGTGTACAGGGCCATGGTTTACGAACCCCGAGAACAGGAGGCGGTCGATAGCACAGCAATGACGTCCACGCTGCGGGGGGTTGCGGGGGTTCGTCAGCCCCGCCACCCCCCGGCCGGCTCCAGCCTCACCCCATGGACCGGAGCGCGGGTGCGGCGTCACCGTAAGGGGCTGCTAAATTTGATATCGCAGTGTCGCTCGCAGCCCGGGTTGGCGGGGAGGGTGGCACGGTCACCCGGGGCCGCGGGGGCGGAACCGACGAGGGCGGTGGTCCTGACCTGACCTCGGCCGGGGCGGGGCGGGTGACCCGAGCGCGACCCGTACCCGCCAATATGGCGTGACGGCGAGAGGGGTAGTAGTACGTCTGTCCCGCGCGGCCTGGCCCGCGGGCCTAACCGTGCCACCACGGGGC